TGGGTTTGGCATGGACTAGGTGTAGCGTAAATGGGTTTGGCATGGAATACGTGTAGTACTATAAATGGGCTTGTCGCATTACTTAAAAGTAATTAAATACTTCATCTTTGTTGTCAATTGCAGATTACTGAACTTGTTCATCAACGTGATGTTACTAGAATGTTAATGAAACACAAAGTGGATAGTGTGACTAACTTTGATTGGTTATGTCAAATGAGATTTTACTTTGACCCTAAGAATAGTGATGTTCTAAAGCAGTTGTCAATTCATATGGCTAATGCTCGCTTTAACTATGGATTTGAATATCTTGGTGTACAAGATAAACTAGTACAGACACCATTGACTGATAGGTGTTATCTCACTATGACTCAAGCTTTGGAAAGTCGACTTGGTGGCTCACCATTTGGTATGTCAATATTCTTTATTATGTTATTGACCACATATTTATTGAAATTGTCTGCTAATGAATGAATGAACATTAAATACTGTACACAAGATGTATATAGTAAGACATCTTGTATAGATTGTAGATTTCTTGTAGATTAATTAATACTTGTATATTACTGGTTAATGTTGACAGTCGTACATTTTCCATTTTCACTTATTAGGACCTGCTGGTACTGGTAAAACAGAATCTGTCAAAGCCCTTGGTAATCAAATGGGAAGATTTGTATTGGTGTTCAATTGTGATGAGACCTTTGACTTCCAGGTATGTATGTATTGTACAGGGCTCAGTGTATCAGGACTTTAACTTCAGAATTCAACAGGCACCCAATTTCAAGGTCAAAATTTTAATTAGGATTATTAACGGCACCAAGGCAAACTTTGAACATTGCTTTTAATGTCTCCATAAAGTTCAAGCTCTGCTGTATGTGTTTAGTTATATCAAAGGTCAATAGTTTATTTATATCTTCGATTATGATTGTATTTTAGGCCATGGGTCGTATTTTTGTTGGATTGTGTCAAGTTGGAGCTTGGGGTTGTTTTGATGAATTCAACCGTTTAGAAGAACGCATGTTATCAGCTGTATCACAGCAAATTCAAACCATCCAAGAAGCGCTCAAAGAACGTGCCAGTGATAAGGTCAAAAGTGGTAAGTACATTTGATCTTTTTAGTCTGGCTGTCATTAAAAATGACAGGCTATTCATGTAACTGATTTTGTTAGGGCATGTCTGTCTGTCTGTCTGTCTGCTCATTTGTCTGTCTACTCATTTGTCTGCCTTCTTCACCTACTAGTATTTGACTTATAACTTTGATTAATGACTATCAACCAAATTAAAAATGAAATTCTCTAAAAGTGACTAAGCTTGCTTCTGTAACAACCTATACATCATCTGAAAGCTTAGATATAGATAAATACATTAGTATACTGGATGTTTGTAATGAATGTAGACTTGGCGATCGCATCTTCGTTTCTCTTTATCTGACTCTGTCTCGTTAGCATGTCTGTAATTATTTGATCATAACTTGAAAACAAAGACACAAAAATGTAATCTGAGACGTGATCATATAGCGTTATGAACATCCTGCACAATTCATTCATTTGCTTCACTTGAAAGTGAAATAGTTTTTAAAATAGTTTGAAAAAACACAATAATAAAACCTTAATAATGTGTATTTGCAGATATTCAGGTTGAACTTGTTGGTAAACAAGTGAAAGTGAGTCGTGACATGGCTATCTTTATCACAATGAACCCTGGCTATGCAGGAAGATCTAACTTGCCAGACAACTTGAAGAAATTGTTCAGAAGCTTGGCTATGACTAAACCAGATCGTCAGCTGATTGCTCAGGTCATGTTATACTCACAAGGTTTCCGTACAGCAGAGGTGCTGGCCAGCAAGATTGTACCTTTCTTCAAGTATGTCTTATTAAATCAAATAAATGGCCATTTTTGTACTCATTTTGTAATCATCAAAAATCTAGCATTTCTGGCATTCTGGAAGTGGATTTCAGTCATTTATGGATGGATATCATTCATACTTGATACATACATAATTATATTACAATTATCTCAAACTGTAATACTACAAACAAAACTATGTATCTTAAATTTGATAATTAACATGGACTATGCCATGTATGGCTTGTTTTTATAGGCTTTGTGATGAACAGCTGTCATCACAGTCCCATTATGACTTTGGACTTCGTGCATTGAAGAGTGTACTAGTGAGTGCTGGTAATGTGAAGAGAGATCATATTCAGCATATCAAAGAAACGATGAGAGAAGAGGGTCAATCCATTGATGAAGCTAAAATAGCTGAACGCTTACCTGAACAAGAGGTAAGTAACCTTCTTTTACTGTCGCATCTTTCATCAATGTTATGAACAAGCTGGCAGTCAATTTGACATATCCATATTTCATACATCTGGCTTATCACTAAACGTGTCATGTACTGTAGTTAAATTGACAACTGCCATTTGTACACACTCTCAAACATTATTCGCTGTGACTGTGCTTGCTGAAGGTTCTACGGTATATTCTTATTTACACTTTTACTTTTGTTTTACGATTCATGTTCATCTCAAACTGTTTTTAGTTGTATACTTGCGTATTTGGAAAGTTTGTAATACATGTTGCTACAATCTTTTTCATTTTAAAACACCCATTGCTATTGCTTAGAACTACGTTTGACACAAAATGGGGTTGCTTTCAAATGCTTACAAAGTTCAAGAGTGTGAGATCTTCAATCCATATTATCAAACATGGTTATGAAAGTTGCATATCTTTATCTTGTCATTGTCAACATATTTACTATAATTAATCTAATGTTTGTTATAGATTTTGATCCAGAGTGTGTGTGAGACGGTGGTGCCTAAACTAGTAGCGGAAGATATCCCACTTCTATACAGTCTGTTGTCAGATGTCTTCCCAGGTGTACAATATACACAGGCTCAAATGAAAAAACTACGAGAAGAATTGGCCAATGTCTGTGAAGAAAACTTTTTAACATATGGTGAAGGCGGTGATAGTGGAACTATGTGGGTTGAGAAGGTAAGACAAACTAGAATTGCTCAACATGTACTTCTAATAAATCAATATTTGAATTGGCAGATCTTTGATAATCTTTCATTACCCAAATTTGCTTTCATTTACAGGTTCTACAGTTGTTCCAGATTTCTCAATTAAACCATGGTTTAATGATGGTTGGACCAAGTGGAAGTGGTAAGAGTTGTGCATGGAGATCATTACTCAAGGCATTAGAGAGAATAGAGGGTGTAGAAGGTGTTGCACATGTAATTGATCCCAAGGTAAGTGTTGATTACTCAGTACATTGGACAGACTGAAGGGTTCTAAAAGGTATCATAATGGTATTTTGGGAGATGCCATCAGTGAATTTTTGTCATTTAGTTGAAAGTTTTTAAAATACAAATATTTGTATTCTGCAGGCAATTTCTAAAGATCTACTATATGGAACTCTGGACCCAAACACCAGAGAGTGGACTGATGGTCTCTTTACACATATCCTGAGGAAGTAAGTTGAATTCCTTGTGAAATCACTTTATTGTGTTACTGCATTTGGAAGAATAGTGTTCGTTCAGAGGGAAGTATAACTGTTGTGCACATGTACTGTGCCAGTACTCAGTACAAATAAAGTTACTGTATCTTTCACAATGAGTAGCATATTACTATATTAGTTTTAATGTTGACAGTAGAGCTGTTCATATTACTGATGGTCTGTCGTGATTCGTCAACTTTGGTATACATGTACCTTAGATGGACCTTTCTCAGATTTGTTCATTTTGTGATGTTACCTTATATTCTCTAATTTTAGGGTAAAAAACCGACAGACTACTTATTTTATAAATGAAATGCTAATTATTGCTGGGAAAGGATTGACCTGCTTTATTAGTCCAATAAAAGTGTTGGAATGGAATGGAATGTGTCTGAACCCCTCATTTAATATGCAAGAATGTAGGAATGTACCAAGAAAATTGTTTTTCTGGAGTTAATTGTAGTGTATTTTACTTATGAATGATCAAAAAGTGCATGGAGATTTTATGAAAATGTGTGAATGTTAACAGAATGTTGTTTGGTCACAGTTGCACAATAAATAATGAACTATTTTGGGCGTAACTATAAAATGTGTCACCGAAGTACTCACACGTGTGCATGATATCTACAGTTTTTGCTGTGAAGAGACGCCATTGACAAATAAATAAGTATTGTGTAATTTGTAGTGAAAATGTATTTAAATAGATGTATGTTTATGAATCATGTTTCTTTTCAAAGTGTATTTATATAATAAAAATTGTTTGTGAAAATGTTTTTTATACTTTTTCAATGGATTGAATTTACAAATGAGTTATTTTGTTATACCATCACTCGAATTATGTTTTACGAATTTCTGATAGTTTAGGCTTTGTGTTCTAAAGGCTGTTCGTTCAGTTCTCGATAAAAGCGAACGTATTTCGAAAGTTGTGAAATCATGGTACTGTTTTGGCATTATACAACTTGCAGTTCCCTTTTGATGGATTTTGTGTGACTTGCCGTGGTGTTTGTAAACTTATCTTATTATGTAAATCTGCCCCGGGAAATCTGCAAGCAAGATTTTAAATTGCCATTTTCACGCTGCGTCATAACGTGGAGTCGTCATCCAAGTATGCACAATTGTTCATCTCCTGTTCCCCAACGCATTTAAAAATTCCTTTAGAATTTTGGGGACTTTGTGTGACTGACAGTGGTGTTTGTCAACTTTAGTCGAACTGTAGTGGTATGTAAATCTGCCACAACGTGTAGTTGCCATCATCTCTTGTTTACCAACTCATTTAAATATGTGCGTGTCTCAACGAGGACTGAAAAGTGATTTCCATTTACCTCGTCTGTTAAAAATCAACTGTATTAGCTTCCTTCAAACTTCCTATTGCCATCTGAAGTATGTCTACTACAATCGGCGGTCTTGTGCGTATCGATCTTCTTGTAAATATATATTATATGAAACGCACCTGCACCCGAACCCGGAAATCAACTGCAAATCAAGGTGGTCCTGTCACCTTTTTTTTTTCTTACCTTGTTCTTGACCGCAGTACGCTTGGCTATGAACTTCCACATACCCACGCTTATGGGAATAGTGCATCATGAGTAATAGTGTATTGATCGAGGTGAAACTAACATGGCTGCCGTAATGCCTGTTGTTCGACTACATCGCTCGTGTTTCTCTTCCTGTCTTAGAGTTCTGTTTTCTTTGATTTTTTTTATTTCAATTAAAAAGCTATTTGGCTGTAACTATGCATTTAGTCATAGTCAACTGTTTTTCTCGAATTGGTTGATTGTCATAGTAACATACGCTAAGTACAATTAAACGTCCGTAGTTGAACAGTAGTCATTTCTAACATGATTATTTAATTTAGTTTGATTCCTTCAGTTAAAAATTGAGTTTTCAAAATAAATAAATAATAACACATACCCTCATGTATACTTCAAGTTTTCATTAAAACAAGCTCTTATTTTCTCAGCATCGAGACGGTTCTGCCAAATTATTTGAGTTAGACAAAGTTAAATTTGTAAAAATATTGCTGGAAGAATTGTCACACTGTGTCTTTATACACAGGTTGCTTATATATTATGTCTTAGGACTGCCTAAAAGTGGTCACTAACACAAGTTTGACTGTCCCGCTAATTTGATACTGTATGGCTTACATAAAGGCATTGTTTATTTGTAGGATCATTGATAACGTCCGTGGTGAAATCAACAAACGTCAGTGGATTATCTTTGATGGTGATGTTGATCCAGAATGGGTTGAGAATTTAAACAGTGTCTTAGATGACAATAAACTGCTGACCCTTCCTAATGGAGAGAGGTTGAGTCTACCACCAAATGTATGTAATTCTGCAATAAACTTTCAATATGCTAGTTTCTCATTTGTATTGAGGTGAAGATTATGTCAAGCGTTAACTTTCATTGGAGATGAGCTATTCATATTGTCTGTTGTCTTGAATGTTGAACTTTTTATATAGATAATGCTACTTGTGTATGTACTGGAAAAAAAAATGTATTGCTGTGTGGTATCTGAATATCAAATTACTTGCCGGAATTGTTACTAGTAATAACATTGTTTAAAGAAAATCAAACTATAGTGACTCTCATTGCAGGTGCGCATCATGTTTGAAGTGCAGGATCTTCGTTATGCAACCATGGCAACTGTGAGTCGTTGTGGTATGGTGTGGTTCAGTGAAGATGTACTCTCCACAGAGATGATACTGGATAATTTCATGAAACAATTACAGAAGATTCCACTTGAAGAAGGTGAAGAAGATTTCAAGCCAGGTCAGAAGGAAGAAGAAGAATCCCTTTCCCCAACACTGCAGGTAAATCTCGCTGCATACAGACTGCAATGCCATTGATTATCCAGGCAAAAATAGCCTTAGGCCTACAGTAGTTGAAATCATGGGTTTGGAAGAGAAATTGGCATAGGGTCAATTTTGACCATTTTTTTTTTAATTTAGCCAATTACCAAAATTATGCAGCACTTATCATCAAACAAACCCTTTCACACTTCGGTATATTATTAACCAGTGTTTGATAGTAACCAAGTCACCATTTTACCACTGATTGCATTCACATTTTTGAAATGTTAATTATAATTGTTTTCTAGTGTAATAACTCTGTGTTAAAATCTGCAGGTGCAGCGTGATATCAGTGCATTGCTTGCACCACATTTTACATCAGATGGCCTGGTTATTCGCACAATGGAGTATGCATCTAAGCAAGCTGAACATATAATGGATTTCACCAGACTACGTGCTTTGGGCTCACTATTCTCTATGTTGAACCAAGCTGCTAGGAATGTACTCTCCTATAATCACAACCATGCTGACTTTCCCATGCAGGTCTGTTGTTACTTCTATACAGTGTTTTATCCAGCTTTGTATTTATGAGGGGGATTGTCGTTCCTTCAGATCAAAATAGAGGCGGTTAAACGGCAGTTCGGTTTTAACAAAATTAATTAAATGGGACCAAGAAATCATGTTTTTTTTTCGGTAATTTAAAAAAGAAAATATTTTGGTGACATTTTTCGGACATTTCAATCATTCCTGACTCCTAAAATAGTCTAAATTAATTTTTACCGTAGTCATTGACACCTATTCAAGTGTATGACGTTTATTGTGACTAGCGTGAATGGGTAAGCTTCGTTTAGAAAATGAGCTGTTATCACTGTAAACAATGTTAAATTATTCTTCAAATGCTCAGTTTATCTTGTGAAAACAACTAATCTTTTGATTTAAAAAAAATGCTACTTTCCCATCTAAATCTAAGCCAAAAGATCGTACTACAATATCGGCAAATCTCTTCCGTGTTGCGTTCAATAACCTTAACAAATTTAAATGAGCTATGGTAATTTGAGCACGTTGTCATCATCCATCATTATGATTGGTTAATTAGTGATTTGACCAATCAGGTCAAAGAACTCTGTCCCAGGTCAAAACATGGCGTTTAATATGCTGCCGGAATCATTTGCTTGCGATGAAACTAAGTTGAAATTTATTTGCATTTCATAACATTTCAACAAATTTATTTTTTGTACGTTAATATAATCACTACTAAGTAATAATCAACAATTGGATGTGTGAAATATTTTAATCATGCAACAAGCAGGAAGGACAACTCATTTTTGCCTCGGCAAGTTGCTTAACACATTGCCCTGCCACACACACACACTCTGGAAACTCAATGCGGGCTATTCCAACTTACGTATGCATACCCGAAGAAGGTAATGTTTTTAAAAATAAGGATGCACCATTTTAAAGAAAATATGTGGAAGATGATTATTTGTATCAGCATGCTAGTAGGCGCGTCACAGTCTAATACATGCACAGGCCATCATTACAAGAATTCAATGGGCAGTGAGGAAAGGAGCGATTTTCGCCCCTGGAGTATTTTTTTTTAAGGGCACACAAAGTGTAGTAGGCGGGGAATTGCACAATCGCGCGTCCTAAAAACGTAAAACACTGCTAAAAATTGAAAACGTAAAACTGTTAATTGAATAATTTTCATCTTGTACAACCTTCGACCTCACTCTAGTAGAATGCAAGAACAATTGCATATGCACAAAGCTGTCAAGGAAACAAGTAATTTCAATGACAGGCTGAAACACGCGACACATAATGTAGCATTGAGAAAATTACAAAACAGGACAGGAACTGAATGCAAATTAGATGGGAAGGCTCCAAGATTCTTACATTATAATTTAATTTACAAATTGTAAATCTAGTCACATACCCAGCCAACAATATACATCCATACACATAATAATCCAGGGTATATGGCCCAGTCAACAGATGAACAACGGATAAAACAGTTTAAGCTGAAATAAAATTTTGCACTTTCTAGGTGGCTCCACCTCCAGAACACGAAGTGGCAGATACCCCAGTGGGTAGCCTCCATGCTGTTTTGGCTGTGGGACGGTCCAAAGATGAACCTGTTTACCACACCAAGCTCCCGACGTACATAACACTCCTGTCGACTCCAGGAGCCTGGGCCAGGGATGCCTCGTGGACCCACATAGATGTGTATGCCTTCCTCCCTTCCTGCTAGTTCACCGGATACCGGAGAAAACTTTGACAGGTGCACACCTGCATATTGACACTGGTCGCACCCAATTGGCCAACCAAGGCCTGATTTCCACTTCTGTTGGAAATGCTAGTCGAAACACCAGTAGTGCTTCTGGACTTATCGGACCTGCCATCCCAACTGGGCGGTGCACTACCAACGATCCCAGCGTATCACTTACAAGCATGGAGGCTCTCAGTAGACTCGAATAGACGAAAGTCTTGTCTGAGCGGGCTGCTAACGTTTGGCCAGGGCGAACAGGGATTCCACCAACGCTGCCTACAACTCAAAGTGGCGAGCATACACAAATTGGTGTAGTGGAAGGGAGATTGATCCATGCCATCCATCTGTTGGCCAGGTAGCAGACTCTTTCGTTCACCTGTTTGACAAAGTGAGTTTGTCCTACAAAGCGATCGTAGGCTACAGGTCGGCCTTGTCCCGCACCATTGAGATGCTTTATGGACAATCGAGTTTCTCGCCAAATCCAAGGACACGATCCCCAGCCGATCGTCATTCCCCGGCTGTCAAACATTTCCGGCCCGGAGGATCAGGAGGAATTGCTTCTCTGCCCGGTTCGAGCACTAACTTGCTACGAAAACCGTACTAGGGATTCGAGACGTGGTGCCAAGCACATGTTTTTGTTACGCCCTAGGCATCCAAGACAGGCCAGCCGCCCTGACTTTCATCACCAGGTGGATTACTGCGACTGTCTATAGTCTATATTTCCTCGACACAGAACTTGCAGAGACACCAAGTACGAGCGCATGAGGTCCGTGTGATTGCTAACTCACTAGCGCTAGTGTCAGGCGACCCCCTCAAACTTTTACTGAGGGCAGGCTTATGGAGAACGCAGAACGTCTACCATCTAAGAGATATTCAATCCATTGAGGAGGTTCTCTTCAGGATGGGTCCCGTCATAGCGGGTCAGACTTTGGTTGCTGACCCAGCATGAACGACCTCGGGGATCCCTACGCATAGACAATAAGTTAGTCTGAGCAATTTAGTGGACAGATTTCTACCTTCAGCACCCCCTGGAATTACCAGGTCTCGCTTTCGGCCTATGCCCTCATGCAGAACTGTTTCAGTCTCTACTTCAAGCTAGTGACCCCAGAATTGGGGTCGGGTGTAGCATTCTCAGGCACACCGAACCCAGTCACCGTGGCAGCATTTTGGCTGGGAACGGCACAGGCATGGGAAGACACCATTGCCTGCATTGGTCTTAACTAGGTGGTAGTATATTACTGGAGAGCATTATCCCGAACTGGGACACCCTTTTCATCACTTTCTGTTTACTAGGGAACCTTCCACCTATCGGCGTCTGACTCTGCCTACAGTTCAAAATAGTCATTATGACTGACCGGAGTTGAGGATGGGTAATTGAACGTAGTGAATTTAGGCAGAGGGTTCTCAGAAGCCGCCTATTCACATAGTTCATACACACCATAGACTCAGGGTTCTCCCCCTTCCAACCACTCCATATTTTCCAGTGTTGGCTTCGTCCTCCGCGCGAAGAAAGAAAGAACCAAAAGTGACGTATTTAGCCATATGGCTATGCCTTGTGGCCTTGGTAACGTTGTTCATGACGTGAGGGAAAATCTTGAGGTCATGGGGCTTCCCCTTCCATCATTGGCTAAATCACATATAAATGCCTACAGTTCAAAATAGTCATTTTTACTGACCGGAGTCTATGGTGGATATGAACTATGTGAATAGGTGGGTTCCAAGAATCCTCTGCTTAATTCAATATTTTAGATAGCTGTGTTATTATGCTTGCTTCCTTAATGAGTTGTCAATATTTGTTAGTTTTGTCTGCCAACTATGACCAAACTTTTATTTTAATTATCAATTCATGATCTTGTATCATTTTCTGAATAATTGTCTATTGTTTATATATAGAGCGACCAGTTAGAGCGCTACATACCACGTTATCTTGTCTATTCTTTGCTCTGGTCCATGAGTGGCGATGGAAAATTAAAGACCCGTGAAGAACTTGGTGATTTCATTCGTGGTGTAACAACTATTCCATTACCACCATCAACCAGTACACCTGTCATTGACTTTGAAGTAAGTATATTTATAATGTAAAAGATCTTTTACACTGAAGGAATGATTCAGTGATAATAAAATCAACGAATATACCTTTTTTCCCATAATTCACATTCAACTCAACAAAATTATGTGAAAATAAACTCCACACAAAACACCCAAAATTAATTCCAGCTAAAATAAAGTATTTTACAGTAATATATGCACAACTTAATTTTCTGTTCTGATCAAGGTGCATAAACTAACACCATTGCCTCATTGTCTTTTTACTTTTTGAAAGCCAGTCATTTTTATTTATTTTAATTTCTGTAATAATTTTCTACCATTAGCTGTAGGTTTTGATTCAAATTCTTGATTCCCAAATTCTTGACAGATATAATGTCATTTTGCACATTCGTAATGTACCTAGCAACTAGTGAGGGTAGGACACTGATAAGAAAAGTCAAAATAACAACGGACGGACAGCTCTTGAATAAGTGTTTTGAATATTTTAAATCTCCTCTACCTTCTGATTTGTTGACCCCTGACTTGTGTACTATGTGCAATCACACAAAGAGTAAACGAGCAAATGCTATCAAATCAGGAATTGTTGAGCGAATAAAAATGTTGTTAAAACATGTAATAAAAGTTATTTTTGGCTTAAGGTACAAATTGTTTTCTGACAATTAATATTATGATTTTCTTTGCAGGTATCAATGAGTGGCGAGTGGGTTCCATGGCAGTTAAAGGTGCCACAGATAGAAGTAGAAACACATAAAGTGGCAGCACCCGATGTAGTTGTACCTACTTTAGATACTGTCAGACATGAATCTTTGTTATATACTTGGTTAGCAGAACACAAACCACTGGTATTATGTGGACCACCTGGTAGTGGAAAGACTATGACATTGTTTAGTGCATTACGTGCTTTGCCAGACATGGAAGTAAGTTTCGCAATGTTTGTAATCGCTGTTCAAATATATCTGTGCTGCATCAGGCTTTTAGCCAGCCACCTATTAGACAGGCACTCCAAATTAGAGAAAGGGGTTGTAGTAGATGATTATGATCAATATTAGAGAGTAGATTTAAGTGACCTTGTGCAAATACGGATTGTGTGTAAACTATGCTGTTGGGTATTTTAGGTTGTTGGATTGAATTTCTCCAGTGCAACAACACCTGAATTGATGTTGAAGACATTTGATCATTATTGTGAATATCGACGTACACCAAATGGTGTAATCATGTCACCAATACAACTAAATAAATGGTTTGTTATATTTTGTGATGAAATCAATCTGCCTGATATGGACAAATATGGTAGGTTACATTCAGATCATCTTTAGCATATTATGGAAAGGAGCATGCATGTCGGCTTTTCATGCACAGTACTTTCCCTTTCATGTTCAAATTTTATATAAACATGATACATCATGTTGCATATGTGCAAATGTGTTTATTTGAAAAATAATTATACAGTGATTGCATTTCTGGTATTTTCATTTTTTTCTGCAATAAATTGTTTTATCTCAGTCAAGGTTGTAAATAATTACACAATGTTTCTTTTTATTTCAGGAACCCAGAGAGTTATATCTTTCTTGCGTCAGGTTGTAGAACTCGGTGGTTTTTACAGACCATCTGATCAAAGCTGGGTTAAACTGGAACGTATACAGTTTGTGGGTGCATGTAATCCTCCTACAGATCCAGGCCGTAAACCTTTGTCTCATCGGTAAGCACATTTTCACTTCACTAAATGTGGTGACTAAAGTAAATTCTGCTCGTTTTGAAAACTGGGACTTGTGACAAGTATTTCTGTCATTGTGGGACCTTGAGGCTAGTCCTTTTTAGTCCCCGTTCGAACGCAGTTTATGTTTTGACCTCTGTGCGTTCGTGCATTCGGACCTGTATCTTAGAAAGGCCTGAACCAATCACAATCAAACTCCACACATACATCATACATGATATTATACATATGCACATCAATTTGTTTCACGATCTGATTCAAGATGGCCGAATGGCGGCCATTTTTGTCCTAAAAAATCATCAAAATCAAGCATTCCCCTGCTGTTTACAGATGGATTTTGTTCAAACTTGGTATATACGTTGAACATCATTTTGTTTTTCAGATAAGATTCAAAATGGCTGACTGGTGGCCATTTTTTGTTTTAATGAATGTGGTTCTAGTGCTATATCTCTGACTTGCTTTGACTGATTATGTTCAAATTTTAAATATTCAAGATTCCGGAGCATAATTTAGTACTTTATAACTAACTGCGACCACATGCATGATTTTGACAAATACCATGACTAGTTGTGAGGAGTTTGTTTTGATCCAAGGGACACATGGATTTTGAGTTAGCTGACGATACGTTGCTGCTAAGTTGTTTTTGCCGTTTTCTTGGTTAAGCAAAACAGCGATTTACGACAACTGCAGGCCTTTGATATTTGACACTCTTGATATGTTTCCTCTCAAGCGGCGCTGGGATTTTTCTATTTTCCTATTTGTTTCGAAATTACGTTCTAATTTCTGAATACCGGAAAGAACCAGATCGCATTGTTTTTTCAAGATAGCTAAATTATTATTTCTTCAACTACCATGTAGATATATATCTCAATCAACTCAGAATAGTGGTGAGCATCATCTAAAAACAGTTTTGTTGCTAATGTACCACTAAATTCGTTTATTCATTGGTTCAATTATATTTTTACCGAAAATGACTTTCTGTGTTTACACAGATCACATGACTATTTACATCCATACACACACTCTCTTGTTGATTTAATATCTAGTGTGAAATAGGCTTTCGATCAATATATAGCTTTGTGTGGTTCAGTAAATATTTTGTATGAAAATAACAGTTTAGAAAATCAATACCAAAAACGTATACAGCATCCTTAATGCTGTTCCAGAGCAATATCTCTCAATACACGTTTGATGATCAGATACAAATTTCAATCATTTTAATGTTAAACAATCATCATATTCCTGACATGTTTATATTCCAACTATATTACTATAAACAAAACTATATATCTTAAATTCAATAACTAACTGGGACTGTGCCATGCATGGCTTGTGATTGTTACATTGGATTCAAAATGGCCAAATAGTGGGCATTGTGATATGATGAATTCTGACATGTCATAACCGTTCATATTCAAACCTTGTATATAAATATAATTATTATATAATGCAATTACTTATTTTTGTTTTGTATAGATTCCTGCGTCATGTACCAGTTGTGTATGTAGACTATCCTGGACCCGCGTCATTAAAACAGATCTATGGTACATTCAATCGTGCTATGTTAAGACTGGTGCCTAGTCTGAGAACCTATGCTGGCCCATTGACCACTGCCATGGTTGATTTCTACAGTCGATCACAGGTAAATATCACATTATACCAATAAACATGTACCAAATTCAAATTAGTACTATAACTAATTAATATATTGCTTAATTTATTTTAAATAAATGATTTTTAGGAACGATTTACCCAAGACATGCAGCCACATTACATATACAGTCCGCGTGAAATGACACGTTGGGTACGTGGTATTGTAGAAGCCCTCAGACCATTGGAAACTTTGTCAGTTGAAGGATTGGTTCGTATATGGGCACATGAAGGTCTTCGGCTCTTCCAGGACAGGTAACACAAACCTAAAATTGAATTTTAAGCTCAGAAAATAGTGATTAGTACTGGGTTACAGTCTGCGACACACTCGGTTGTGATGTAGGCTGACCAGTCGGGGCTATACTCACTTTGGTTGGGATGTCGGGTGGCCAGTCTGGGCTGTATTCACTTAAGTTGGTGGTTGGGCTGTCCAGTCTGGGCTATACTCAATATAGTATAGTATATAATATATATATATATATATGTATTGGGCTATATTTATTTTAGTTGGGATGTGGGCTGTCTGGTCTGGGCTAAACTCACTTTAGTTGGGATGTGGGCCATCTGGTCTCAGCTAAACTCACTTTAGTTGGGATGTGGGCCGTCTAGTCTGGGCTAAACTCACTTTAGTTGGGATGTGGGCCGTCTAGTCTGGGCTATACTCACTTTAGTTGGGATGTGGGCCGTCTAGTCTGGGCTATACTCACTTTAGTTGGGATGTGGGCCGTCTAGTCTGGGCTATACTCACTTTAGTTGGGATGTGGGCCGTCTGGTCCGTGCTATACTCACTTTAGTTGGGATGTGGGCCGTCTGGTCTGTGCTAAACTCACTTTAGTTGGGATGTACGTGGGCCGTCTAGTCTGGGCTATACACACTTATAGGATGTTATGTGTAGTGACGTTCACACTTACTACATTTATGTCATGAATATGCATACTAATTTTCACCTGATTTTATATTCATAGACTTGTCACAGATGAAGAAAGGCAGTGGACAGATCAAAATATTGATGAAGTTGGATTAAAACACTTCCCGAACATCAACCGCGAAGAAGCTCTTCACAGACCGATATTGTACAGTAATTGGTTATCCAAGGACTATGTACCCGTGGACAGAGAAGAACTCAGAGAATATACTAAAGCTAGATTGAAAGTATTCTATGAAGAAGAATTAGATGTGCCATTAGTGTTATTCAATGAAGTATTGGACCATGTACTCAGAATTGATAGGATATTCCGGCAACAACAGGTAAATAATATTACAACTATATATTCAGAGCCAGATGCCGTAGTGCCAGATGACATCACTGACAAATCTGTCCTCCCATAGTGTACAATACCAGATGACATCACTGACAAATCTGTCCTCCCATAGTGTACAATACCAGATGACATCACTGACAAATCTGTCCTCCCATAGTGTACAATACCAGATGACATCACTGACAAATCTGTCCTCCCATAGTGTACAATACCAGATGACATCACTGACAAATCTGTCCTCCCATAGTGTACAATACCAGATGACAGTGTTTCTATTGTGCCAGGGATGTTGATAATATGGAAATCTGTTGATGTCCAATTATCTACAGTTATTACAAACTCACTTTTTAGCTCCGCTGTCGACTTTGTCGAGCGGAGCTTATCATATGAGTGATTGTCCGTCTCCGTCGTCCGTGTCAATGTTTTACTTTTTCGACTTCTTCTTAAAAACTACAAGCCTGAATGCTTTGATACTTGGTGTATATGTACCTTGGGTAGACCTCTCTCAGATTTGTTCATTTCATGATGATATCTTCAATTCTCTAATTTTGGTGAATATTTTTGTCATTTTTAGTAAAAAGTGATATTTTCGACTTCTTGTTGAAAACCGCAAGTGC